AGACTAAAAAATATTTTTTTAAATTAAATTTCTACAGCAATCTTCTGCTTTTATGAAATGAAATCGATATATTTAGGTTCCTTAGACCAAATACTTTAAGAAATAAACATTTATTTAATACAATTCGACACGAGTCAACTAGCCTATTGGCCTGCAGGCCAATTATGCTCGCTAATTGTGATATTGTTTTGATGTCAATTTCACATTACGCTTTAATTATGCTCTCCGAAAAATGCGATATCAAAATGACATCAACTTGACATCAACTTTAAAATGATATCAACTTAAATGCGTATTACGTTCAACTTTTTGACATAAAACAGTATCGCATAAACGTCAAAAATGTGATATAGACTTAACAAGTTAGGGAGGTGCTTTTTCTGTATCAAATTCCTTTATTTTATAATAAAAAAAGAGTAAAATGGCTCGTTTCGTGTTAGTCATGGACTATTTAGAACGTCCTCATGCCGAGGACATGCGTAGAAGAGATAAACCCCTCGAAGAAGAGATACAATTAGCTCTTTATGTTCGCTAAATTGTGATATTGTTTTGATGTCAATTTCACATTACGTATTATGCTCTCCGAAAAATGCGATATCAAAATGACATCAAATTAAGCGTATTATGATCAACTCTTTAAAATGATATTAACTTGATATCAACTTAAATGCGTATTATGTTCAACTTTTTGACTTAAAACACTATCGCATAAACGTCAATATAGTGATACAGACGTGATTCAGTATTAACAAGTTAAGAGGTGGTTCTGCGTGCACGCGCTACAAATAGTGATCCGCAAAAAGTATCGATAACTGAGTAGTATCGATACTTTCGTTTCGATACCAAGTATTTGAGTACTCGATACATTTTCTTTCGATACTTAGTAGGTATTGATACCTTCAAAAGTACTTGATACTTTCGCAAGTTCTTTTTAAAACAATTTCCCATTTTATAACGATTTACCAAAAACCGGTTATATTAATCGTAATCGTAACACTTATTCACATTACATCACCAGTTTTTCGCAAGAAGTTGCGGGGAATTCCCAACTAGTCAACATACTGTGTATTGGGTTGACATTTTATAAGGTTTGGTACATTTTTGCAACTTCTGGAGGAACAATTTGACTGGTTATTTTATGTTCTTTTATTCTAAATATGAATATAGATTTTAATTAATAAAAATTACAAAACATTCTTTAATAAATCATGAATGGTTAATCACTTTTAAACTTATTTATGAATAAATAAACAATAAATTAAAATTTGTAGGAATTATTTTAGAAAACATAGCAACCCTATTTTATTGGATTCTTTTTCTCATTCATGCTTATTAGCAGATCGTTGTCGTCATCGTTGGTAATCAGGTGTTTTTTGTGAGATAAAGTGACCCAGAACCAGTTAAAACTTTTCATTTTCACAATGCCACCTCCAGGAGGAACCAGTGATGTATGGAAATACTTTAGGAAAAATGATGCAACATCAGCATCGTGTAAAATTTGCTTCAAAGTTTTGATGATCGAGTGGTAATACATCAAATTTGAAGAAACATTTGACTACTCACTCACAAAGGTAAGTTCTCTCTATGGATAGAAAGAAATACCTAATTTTATTGAAGTTATACTTCTTTAGGCGCGTTCTGAAAAATTGTTGAGAGTGAAATTTTAAGATGCGCGCGCATCATGTAACACAAAAAATTAACACCATGAAGTTGGTCGCTTTAGCGACCAACTTCATGTGCCGCGCTGCCATTACCGCGTCGCCCGCCGCACCGTACGCATGCGCGGCCACTCGCGGTCCTAGCGCGGGAAACACGTGCAACAAACATCGGGAAAAGTTACGAGTTTTGAATTTAGAACAGAGACTGTTTTCATATCTATATATATATAAATGAAACCCGTTTTCCGTTGTCACGACATAACATGAAAACGGCTTGACCGATTTGGCTGTTTTTTTTTGTAGTTTTCTAATACTCTGTACAAGGTTCTTACGGAAAAAAATATAAAGAAAATCCCAAGGGGATAAAATAAGGAATGAAAGTTTGTATGAAACTTTATCAATTTTAAACCGATCGGGCTGAGACTTTGCATGCAGGTATAAGAAGAATCATAGATGAATGTCATTGTGTATAATACAAGCCTGAGAACAAAAACTGTAGTCTACACTTCAGCTCTACACCGAAGCGAAGCGAGGGCGGGCCGCTAGTTTATAATATTTATCCACATGTTTCTAGTTTGTATATTCGGAATACGTGTTTGAGTTTCATACAAGTGCAAATCACATATGTTCTAATAAATTATATTCAGTAGCGATTTTAATTGGATATTTTGATTATTTATTTATTTTTTCAAATTAAAACTGAACTTTATTGACTGTGTCCTTTTCCAGACTTTTTATTAATTTATTGTAATTAATTATTTGCATGCAATTAAAAACTAATTTTAAACGATGCCAAAGAAGGATAACTTCTCACGCGCCTACTTAAGTACACGCACCCATTTTTTTTTATTTATATAAATTCTATGTGGACGCGTATTATAATAATGAACAATTTAGTACAAAATAGTGGGTAACTGCGTATAACTGGTCTTTTTCATTCAGTTCATTCTTTTATTTCAGTTGGAAAGAAAAAGCTATGCCTAAGAAAAAAACTCCAAGTTTAACGAACAACCCCAGCCCCAGTACTTCGCAGGATGAGGCCACTGCACAGGAAACAGCATCTCATGATGCAACGGAGTCAACTCCGAAACAAACAAACACGTGTGAAGTAATAGAAGGAACAAGTAGTGACAGTGTGCAAGTTTTGTCAAAATCCTCATCTTCTAGATCCATCCAGAAATCCCAATTGACCATTGCAGTGACATTCCAACGAGTTGCTTCATATTCAGATGGAGGTATTCGATATGAAATGTTTATTAAACACCTGAATTTTTTTTAAGAATAGTGTCAATCAAAGCGATTTTCTGAGAAGGAAACAACAAGGTGAAAAACAAAATTAAAGCTGGATGTCAAGACACGCTGGAATTCAACATTTTATATGTTGGAACGTTATATAGAACTGAGAAGCATTGTGAACGAGATCTTACTGGAAGTTCCAAATGCTCCAGATATTTTAACCGCAATGGAAAACAACATCATCCAAAAAAATATGCTCGTCTTACAGCCATTTGAATATGTGACTAGAGATATTTCTGGAGAAAAGTACTCGACCATGAGCAAAATTATACCAACGGTTAACTGCTTGCGCGAACAGATAAAAAACATTAAATGCCATGGCGACGATGAGAAAAGAATCGTAGAACCACTGAAAGAGCGATTTTTAAAAGAAATCAATAACCGTTTCGCCCCAATTGAAAACAACCGTAACTTAGCAGTCGCAACTATTCTAGATCCAAGGTTCAAAAATATTCATTTTTCTGATGCAAATGCATGCGCTTGAACTATTTCATTTATACGGAGAACGGTCAATGCTGATGACAATAACAGAAGCCCTACGAATCAGTTTTCGGAAAATGAGGAGAAATTTGACTTTTGGAATCCACATATGAAATTAGCACACAGAAGACGAATTAGACAGTAACACGACGGAGAAAGGGATGAAGTGGGGCTGTACCTTACGAACCCAGTTTCCCCTTTAAAGTCTGACATTTTTCAGCAGTGGGAAGATATGAAGTCAGTACTCCCGAAGCTCTATGCATTGTCACGAAAATACCTTATTGTGCCAGAGCGCCTGTTTTCTAAAGCTGGCGCAACAATAAGCGATGCTCGCAATCGTCTTACTGGTTCAAGGCTTGATAAATTGTTATTTTTATCAGATTGTTCAGAATCAGACTGGGGGTTTTAATTATTTCTGTTGTTTTTTCTGTTCATTTGTAATAAACCACTTTTAACTAATCATTTGTCATGTTTCATTCAATACGTCAAAAAGTACTCGATACCTAGTAGTATCGATACTTTTGATACGATACTTATACCGGTATCGATACTTTTAATACAATACTTGGTATCAAGTAAGTATCGATACTTTCAATATTTTGCAGATCACTAGCTACAAATGACTGACAAGTTCGCCGATAAATCTGTGCAAGCACACACACATACGGATTAGTACGCCGCACCCCAGCCACGCCGTACAAATTCGTACGTGTGTGTGCTTTTAAGTCAGCTTACACCGAAACGCGACGCGACGCTGTACGCTGCACGGAGCGACTCAAAGCATAACTTTATTTACTACGCGTAAAGATACACATTTCATTGTTTGAATTCAGAATACATAGCACCACGCGTAATCTGAATCCAAACCATGAAATGTGTATGTTTTCGCGTAGTAAATAAAGTTGCACCGAGCAGCGTCGCGTGCGTCGCGTTTCGGTGTGAGCTGACGCTAAACGAAAAAGGTAGGTACCTAACAATAAATACGACCCATTCACGCTGCAATAACGTTTAGGCGCTTTGCAGACGACGGGGCGGGGCGGACCGGTCAATTTCGCCGCGAATAATAGCACAAAGTGAATCCTATACTTCAAACGCACACAGAGGGCAAAAAGACCGCGCCGCAGGTGCCCGGCGGACACTGGCGGCGCGGCACGTCCGCGGCTGCCCGCCGTGGATCATACAAACCAGTTTATATGCAGTAACGCCATAGATATCAGAAACAAAACGCAGACGGCGGCGCGGGGCGGTCAGCTCAGTCCGCGCCACGCGCTTGTAGAATGAACGTTCTGAACTGACGCGGCGCGGGCAGCCACAGAAATCGACGGGCAGACGCGGTCTTTATTGCTTCGAGGACAAAATGCCCGCCCCGCCCCGTCGTCTGCTAAACGCCTTAAATGTCAGTTATACCTACTAACACTGTGGAAAATCCACTCCACAGAACTAAAGTTTTTCAAACAATGCGCGGCGAGGGCATGGTACATATCTCTGCCACTTCTGCAACTTTCCAACTTGACATCAGCTAGTGTGATTGTGAAATAATTTCTTAACCTACATTATTTTTTATAGATAAAAATCCGTCATGTGTCTCGGATACCGCTCGAATCTGGAGTCGCAGCAACCGATACAACATTGCCTTCTCATCGATCTCATCCTGAACCATTACTGGACTTCAAAGTTAGCTCGCACTATGAAGAATTACAAAACTCTGAAACATTGGATATTTCTTTAAATGACTACCTAAGTAGTTTATAGACTTATTGGTAAAACTGCTAGGTAGGGAAGTATACCCACCCCGTGAGCAGTAGCGGCGTTAAGGGGGGCAGGGGGCGCGGCAACCTTCTCTCTCTTCGTGTGAAGAGATGGCGCTGCCTTGCAACTTAAGAAAGGCTAGCAAGAATTCGACACGGCCATAAGGGCCGCGGTAGCATAATGGCCAGTGCATTCGCCCGGATAGCGAAGGGTGCGGGTTCGAGTCCCGTCTGCTGCCTGGTCCGCGTGGATTTTTTTCTAGTAATATTTTCTTTAGATTTAAACATCCAACTACAGTAAAATAGCAGATAATTGCTTAAAAAAAATAAAAATATAACTAAACCAATTTCGTTATTAGGCGAATATATTATGTATCTTCTGCGCCCTTAACTTATTAACATTTAAATGTAGTAATTACTACCATCAATTTAATAAATATATCAATGAAATCTATATTCTAATACCGTTTTATTTCATACCAATTTTATTATCTTACCGTTTTAGAATTATTAAAATCCTATGGAGCTGTTATTTCTATACAACATGTAATGGATGTGTAATATGTAAACAATATACACCAATACTATTATAATTCTGCATCAGAGCAGTCTTGTGTAGATTTATTATAACCTATATATTATACTACACGGAATATTACATTATGCCCATGTGTAATTCATTGTCAACAATTATAGCTTTAATATTATATAAAATGAGGAGATCGATGGCGCAGGTGGTGAGCACGTTCGGCTGCGATCGTTGAACTTAAGCAACTTTCGCAGTGGTCGGTCATTGGATGGGTGACCAAAAATCTTCTACCTCGAGTTCCTCCGTGCTTCGGAAGGCACGTTAAGCCGTTGGTCTCGGCTGCACCTGCAGTCGTTAGCACCCGCCAATCCGCACTGGGCCCGCGTGGTGGGTCATGGCCCAATCTCCCTATTCCATCCCTGTGCCCCAGCAGTGGGGACATTAATAGGCTGATGATGATGATTATACAATAAAATATATTATTTAATAAACATAAATATATTTTTAACAACACTTTACCCGACTGCGCAATGCAAGAGCGCGAAGCGCGACGCGCAGGCAGGGTATAGTGTTTAACAGTCTATATATGTATGTTTGTCCCTTTGTGGCACACTAGACACCAAACGCGTGGACCGATTTTGATGATTCATACGTCAATCGATTCGTCTTAATCATGGGAGTGCTACTAAAGATATGATAATAATCAAAAATCAATGTGGAGGCAACTGGGCGCCATATTGTGAGAAAGAAAAAAAAAATAAGTTGCCGAAATATGTCTAGTGGGGTATCATTGTCTAGATAATCAAAAATCATGTTTAGGTTCCTTCCATCATTTTTTATTTTATATGATTGTTTAGGATCTACAACGCTTTAAAGTTGTATATTAACCACTTGCACTTTTAATTTCAATCTTACGTTTGTATGGATCTTTCTTTGTAACTCTTTCACTCAAAAAAAAAAGGTAAATTTAAAAATCAAAAACCCGAATGCTTAATTATACTTCAAATAAAAACTGAAAAGAAAAAAACAAGTCCAGTAGTCTATAATTCTGTTAATAAGGAACAAAGCTACTTTAACAGTCGGGACCCACTGTTGAAAAATAATATGTATTCTTGAATATCTAATGGGTCCCGACTGTTAAAGTAGCTTTGTTCCTTATTAACAGAATTATAGACTACTGAACTTGTTTTTTTCTTTTCAGTTTTTATTTGAAGTATAATTAAGCAGTCGGGTTTTTGATTTTTAAATTTACCTTTTTATTGGTAGTATAAAGCTCGAATGAAGAGTACTCCCAGTAGTGCAATCATGGCTATTATTTTCCAATTTTTTTTTGACGTGACAACGTCTTAAATTAGGTTGCGGCTGGGAGTCACTTATGAAAAAGTGTAACGCTCGGTAACGTTACGATGAGTCTCTCGTGTTAAGTTTAAGTTTACATGTACAATGTTTTAGTAAACAAAATATATTTCTATAGTTAAAATTTGTGCAATTCTTATTTTCATTCAATTCCTTGTTCCTATTGTGCAATTTAATTATATTCATATCAATAAATATTCTACTGAGAAAAAGACGTTGTCACGTAAAATCTTCGCCCGTAAAACCGACTTTACAGGCAACCATTTTTTTGTTATAAAAATACCGAATAACGTATCACTGTTAAGCACAAATGCTAAGTAACTTTTACAAAGCTAATCAAATAAACCTATTACTTACTTTATTTTTAAATCTTTTTCATCAATTAAATACTTATCTTATCCTAACTATCTATACTAATATTATAAAGAGGCAAGATTTGTATGTTTGTAACAAATAATCTGTCAAACTACTGAATCGGTTTCAAATATTAATTCATCATAAGGTAGCTACATTATTTATTATAACATTTTTCTTTATTTAAATACATTTTGTCCGAGTGACATAGGCTATATTTTATCCCGATAAATAAATTTCGCCCGTACAATGCCCGGGTGGGTGCCCTCACTAGTAAGTATAATATAATATTATAGATGCGAAAGTGAGTTTGTTTGTTGCGCTTCCGTGCCCTAATAGCTAAATCGAATATAATGAATTCCCATATAGAAGTAGATGGGAACTTGGTTCTTAGCTACAACATCGCAATACTTATAGGCGTAGGGTGATGAAAGGGGTGATTTACCTATAAAAATCTACATTATTTACTTTGAATTTTGCAGAATTATTACAAAACCAATATTATCGCGAGCTGATTAATAAATACAGGGATTCCAATAAGTATGTACTTACTAGCGAAAAATGGGTTATTTGTCATTATATATTATATTGAAGTAAACCTTTTTTGTAACATTAAGTAATATCGTTGAAAAAATGAAAAACAGTAAAATTCTGAGTTTTTCATTAAAATACTTATTATGATAATATATTTTTCATCACACAATAAGAAGGAACTGTATCACAGTTTTATTGTTAGTACTTCGTATAGGATCAGATACTGCGAATACCCCATTTTTTTTTCTTTTACATAGTACACCGCGCTATCACTTTGTCATCGTTGTAACTTTTTAAATATGTCTACTAAAGTTCTACAAAAAAGTCCAGGACAGCATATATCTATTTTTAATGTGTAAGCCATTATAGCTAAAATAGTGAATCAAAAATAAAATATTATTTGAAACAAATTTCCAAAATGCATGTTTCGTATAAACAAATTATTTTTTATCAAAACAAACACTTTTATCGCTTTTGATATTTAAAGACGATAAACTTTGCCTTTTACTCTGTGTAATTTCGACAAATATTTAAAAAGTTACAACGATGTTACGATGACAAAGTGATAGCGCGTTGTGCTATGCAGCCCCTCTAGCATGACCACCGAAACAGGATATGATAAAGCGATATATCGGCATTAACTGTCAGATTACAGTGGAGTTTGACAGTTGAGACTCGATAAAAAGCTTTATCATATCCCGTTCCGGTGGTCATGCTAGAGGGGCAGGAGTACCTACGAGTAAACTGAGGGAATGGTGGGAAAAGTGATTGTTTGGCATTTCTGTGCGAGACGGAACGCACCAAGTTAAGGTTCGGCTCGGTCACCAATCCGTATGGTGCTACATGACGCGATATAAAAATCGACGCTGCCATTGGTCGCAAAATATTGTTCCCAACCCCTCTTCCTCGAATTTTGTAACAGATTTATTTTGAATACATTATACGCTATTAGACTTTCAAAGATATCACACCTTTTATTTAAACATCCAAAATCTCAGTCTCAAAACTCCGTAGCTAAGCTGCGACGATACGAAAACCAAGTACCGGCACATGTGGCCCTTCGTCGCCAAATAATTACATCCAGCATCCTGTGGAAGACGCGGTCGAAGCTGCTGCTACGGAAATTACCTGCAATAGACGAGCATATTCAGGACTGAGGAATACTTGGAGGCTAAGCGCATACAGGAATCGAAGCTGGAGTGGCATTCCATCGAGCATCATACGCACCAGATTGCAGAAAGGGACCAACCATCCTTTCTATTCCTAACACCTCCTTGTTCTATTTGTGATACCTGTGTCTAAACTGATTTCAGTGAATTATACGCATAGGAGCTATTTGGACAGTTCCGGACAGTCATTTCGCGAGCTTGTGACGTTGCTATCACTGCCGACGTGTATCAGAACATCCAAATTGTAAGTACTCCTGTTTTTCACTGACCACCAAAATGCCTACCGAAAATGTACTAACTGTTGATGGCGAAAATCCTAGATCGCGTGATAGATCTCCTATTTCGCAATACGCAGATCCAGTTTTGATTCGCGACCTAGTTCGAAAACGAGGTGTCATTAAAGGCCGACTAACTAAATTTTCTACGTATCTGCTCTCTTTAGAACAGAACGAAAATCTTATTTTTTCCTCGCAGAACCGCATAGATTTAAAATTACGCATTAAAGGAGCTGCTAGTTTATATGCTGAATTTAACGAAGTTCAGAGTAAAATCTAAGCATGTGTACCCGAAAGTGAGATCTGTGAGCAGTTGAATAACCGTGAAATATTTGAAAATTCTTATTATACTATAGTAGCGCGCGCAGAACACATAGTGAGCAGTTCTGAGGTTAGTGACGGTTCTGGTGATAGGAGTTGCTATGACGAACAGTACAGTCAGTAAAGCTGCCCACTATTTCACTGCCTACCTTTGACGGTTCCTATGAGCACTGGCTTGAATTTCGCGATACCTTTTTATCTTTGGTGCATAACTCTAAGCGTATCAGTGATATCCAAAAGTTTCACTATTTAAAATCCTCGTTAAAAGGCAATGCTGACCTGGTTGTCAACTCCGTGGAATTTTCTTCCGATAATTATAACGTTGCATGGGAGTTATTGCTTAATAGGTATAATAATAATCGACTTCTAGTACATAACCACGTCAAGGCGTTATTTTCTATTAACCCGTTATCTAGGGAATCCCCCGCTTACATTAGAAAGCTCATAGATACTATAGTTAAAAATAAACGCGCTTTAAAAATCCTAGGTGAACCAACGGATTCTTGGGACACCCTCATAAATTATATTATTGTATCAAAGTTAGATAGAACCACTGAACGCGAATGGGAGACCTACAAGTGTACGTTAATTCCGAACGACAACAATTCTAAACGCATAAAAAAACTAGACGAATTAATCGGATTCTTAAAGGCACGGGCGGATATGTTGGAA